TGCACCACTGTACTCCAGCCTGGGTGACAGGGTGAGGTTCTATCTCAAAAGGCCGGGCACGGTGGCTCACACCTGTAATCCCAGCACTTTGGGAGGCCGAGATGGGCGGACCACGAGGTCAAGAGATTGAGACCAACCTGGTCAATATGGTGAAACCCCGTCTCTACTTTAAAAAAATACAATAATTAGCTGGGCATGGTGGTGCATGCCTGTAATCCCAGCTACCGGGAGGCTGAGGCAGGAGAATTGCCTGAACCCAGGAGGTGGAAGTTGCGGTGAGCCAAGATCATGCCATTGCACTCCAGCCTGGACAACAAGGTCGAAACTCCGTCTCAAAAAAAAAAAAAAAAAAGCAAGTCAGACCCAGTTCCAAGTTGCTTCCCTTCTGAGAACGCTTGGGAGTTGCTAATTACCCTTGAAATCAACACCAATCACCTCTCATGGCCCCTGGCTGAGGCCTCTCGCAAGAGCTCTTCAATGCTCCTTTCATTCCAGGCACACCAGCTTGTGCGTGCCACGGGGCCTTTGCACTTGCCTGGCACACTCTCCTTCCACACCTTCCCGTGGCTGGTTCTTAGCTATTATCTCAGCTCACATACCTTTCAGAGAGACCTGCCCTAACCAGACCAGCTCCTCGATGCCAATTGCATTTTACTTTTTTCTAAACACTCACCATTATCTGAAATTATCTTGCATATTTATATTCTTGATCTGTCTCTCTCTCCCTTGAGAAAGTTAGCTCCATGAGAACAGGAGCCTTATCTACTTTATTCATCACTATACCAGTGGGGCCTGAAAGGGCGTGGCATCTGAGATATGCTCAAAGTCTATTTTGTTACATGTTTGTCTCCATTTGTTGCCCAGGTTGGAATGAGGTGGTACAATCATAGCTCATTGCAGCCTTGAACTCCTGGGCTTAAGCAATCCTCCCACCTCAGTGTTCTGAGTAGCTGGGACCACAGGCCTATGCCACTACACTCAGCTAAGTTTTAAAAAATCCTTAGAGATGGGGATCTGGCTTTGTTGGCCAGGCTAGTCTCAAATTCCTGGCCTCAAGCAATCCTCAAGCCTCAGCCTCCCAAAGCCTGGGATTAAGGCATAAGCCACCAGGTTCTTGATAAATGCCTGAGACCCTCTGGGGTTGGGGCCTGAGAGCAGCATCTTCCTAGCTCCGTGTTCGAGGAGCAGCTGAGGTCTGAGACTGTTAGGTGGTGGTCAGGCTGGGTGCAGAGCAGGGCTGGGGAGGGGTGGGGGCCACCTACCCATTAGGCCGGTCTCTGGTAGCCCCGCGAACCTCTGCATGACCTTGATGGCATCGCTCAGCTTCTCAGGGCTCTGCAGCTGGGCCTGAGCAGGGTCGGGTGGCGGCAGGTAACCATAGCGCGTCAGCCACTCCTAGGGCATCGGAGGGGACAGGTGAAGCGGGCTGGGTGAAAAGCATGGGGTATCCCTGCCCACCACCATCCTAGCAGCCCTGCCCCTCCCAGGCATCCAGAGCCCACGGCCCCAGCCCGGATGTCCGCCTGCTCCCCTCTGAAGGTCCTCGCTTCAATCCTTAGTTTGCCAGTCTTTGTCTGGACTTCAGCTCCTCGCCCCAGCTCCCTTCCAGAGCTCCAAATCCCAGCCCCAAACCTCCCGACAGACCCAAGAATCTGGGCGCCCAGATCCCATCGTCGGTCACTCTGGATATTGTAATTTGGCTCCTGCCGCCTTGGGACCCAGGAGTCCGGGCCGAGCTTCCCTCTCCCAGCCTCCTTGCAGATCCCAGGAGCCTGCTGACCCCGCGCTCACCACGCCCAGGCTCACGTCCTGCGCGGAGGGCTTCGGGGCGCGGGCCGGCGGCAGCAGCAGCGGCAGCAGCAGCGCTAGGAGCCCAAGTCTCAGCCGCAACCGCAGCACCTGCAGCCGCATGGCGAGCCTCAGCTCCGGCCGTCTGCGGGGCTCGAAGGGGGTCTGGCCGGCGCCGCCCCGAGGACTTGGGGGAGGAGATCCGGGCTTGAAGAGGGTCAGGGGCACCCGGCGCGGAATAGGGAGGGATGCACTGGAGGGCTGGGTGTGTCCGGGGGTCCCGGGAAGCGCGCAGTGGAGTCAGCGGAGGGTACAAGAGGTCCCGGGTCAAGCCGCTGGGTCGGGTGGGCCCGGGAATCCCAGCACGGTTGAGAGGGCGCAGGAACGGCGGAGGTCCGGATTCGCCGCGGCGGGCTCTCCGGGTCCCGGGGCGCTGCGCCGGCTGCCCCTCCTCTCCCGGCTAGAGCAGAGAACTGGGTGGGGCGGGCCGGGCGCACCCGGATAAGCAGTAAGGGCGCGGCAAGGAAAATGGCCCAATCTTCGGACGTCCAGCGACAAGGGGCGGGCCAAGCGGTGGCCCCCGCCCCGACCCAGGGACCCTCCTCCGGCGGAGGACGCCCCGGGGGTGGGGGGGTCCACTGCTTCAACTTCGTCGTCCGCAAGTTTCTCTTCCCAGATCCCCGCTCCTGTGGGACTCCCCGGGGCAGGACTCGTTTCTGCTTTCTCGAAGTCCCGCGGCGGGAAGAGGGCGTCCCGGACCTCTGGCTCGGCTAGCCCTCCCCATCCCCCTATCCCATCCCCCTTCTTCCCCTAGGACCTCATGGTGCTGGTCTTTTGAGAGCTGGGGGGATTTCCGGGCAGCTGGAGGCTGGGAAGGAAGCCTCCTTCCCCGCGGGGTCCCGGCCCGCCGCCCTCCCAGCCAGCTCCAGCTGTGCGCGGTTGCGACTGCCAGGGGGCGGGATACTCCGGCCCCAGCCCACGTGGGCTCCGCGCCGGGCTCGCCCTCGGCACGCGGGGGTTTGAGCCCTTCTAGGTCCCGGGGGCAGGAGCTGCTCCGCGACTGCGCCTCTCTCCCCAGGTGCCAGACATTTAAATGCAACAACCTCTGCGCGGAAGCCACAGCTCAGGTCTGTGCTGGGAGCCGGGGACAGGGGAGTGGATGGGTGGGCGGCGGCGATCCAGGAAGCAGAGACCTGGGGGTCTGCGAGCCGCCCCCTCCCGCGCCCTCAGCACGGGGCTAGGAGGCCCGGCAGCTGGGGAAGGAACTGGAGGAAGCGGGCGGGAGGCTTCCTGGCGAGGGCGAGTATGAGTTAAACTGCTCAGTCCCGGAGCAGCTGGGGGTCCGCCGCCGAGCTGCTCACAAAAGCAGCCAGCAGGATGCGGAGCTGGAGAAGCAAAGGCAAACACGGCGATCCCGTGCCCGCTCGCTGGGGCGCCGGAACAAAACAGCACGGACTGGGAGGCTCAACCAGAAGTTTACGTTCTCACAGTTCTGGAAGCTGGAAGGCCAAGATCAAGTGCCTGCGGGGCGGGTATCTCCTGAAGCCTCCTCGGGGGCGGGCAGAGGGCGTCTTCTTGCTGTTTCCCCACACGGTCCCCCCAGGTGTCTCGAACTCTTTTTTTGGTGGGGGCGGAACGGAGCCTTGCTCTGTCTCCCAGGCTGGAGTACGCTGGCGCGATCTCGGCTTAAGGCAGAGTCTTACTCCTAGGCTCAGGCAATCCTCCCACCTCAGCCTCCCAAGTAGCTGGGACTATTGGCCCAAGCCACCATCCCCATCTTTTTTTTTTTTTTTTTTTTGGTAGAGACGGGTTCTCACTATGTCACTCAGGGGTTCTTGAACTCCTAGGTTCAACTAGTTCTCCTGCCTCAGGCTGCCAAAGTGCCAGGATTACGGGGATTACAGGTGTAAGCCGCCGCCCCCGGTCCAACAATTTATTCCATAACAGATTCCATGTTTGTCATCAGATTGGCAAAATTTTAAAGTCTGACAATGCCAATTATTGGGCAGGTGTGGCCCAGATGAAATTCGAGCTCTAGCTAGGGTGTGGTGGCTCACACCTCTCATCCCAGCACTTTGGAAGGCCAAGGCAGGATGATCCTTTGAGATCAGGAATTTGAGAGATCCAGCCTGGGCAACATACTGAGACGCCATTTCTTTTTTCTTTCTTTCTTTCTTTTTTTTGAGATGGAGTGTCACTCTTGTTGCCCAGGCTAGAGTGCAGTGGTGCGATCTCGGCTCACTGCAACCTCCACCTCCGGGGTTCAATCAATTCTCCTGCCTCAGCCTCCCAAGTAACTGAGATTACAGGTGGACGCTGCCACGCCCAGCTAATTTTTTTCCGGATTTCAGTAGACAGGGGTCTCACCATTTTGCCCAGGCTGGTCTCGAACTCCTGAGCTCAGGCAATCCACTCGCCTCAGACTCCCAAAGTTCTAGGATTAGAGGCACGAGCCACCATGCGCAGCTCTAAGACCCCATTTCTACCAAAAACAGAATGAAATTGATGCTCTGCAGGATAGGAAGCATTTGTTCATATGGAAATAAAATAAATAAAGAGAAATTTACCCTCTGCAGATAGAAGGATGTTTTGTGATTTACCCTATGCCCCAAATTTGTTTGTTTTTTTTTTTTGATGGAGTCTCTCTCTGTCGCCCAGGCTGGAGTGCAGTGGATCTATCTCGGCTCACTGCAACCTCCACCTCCCAGGTTCAAGTAATTCTCCTGCCTCAGCTTCCCATGTAGCTAGGACTACAGGTTTGCACTGCCACGCCTAGCTAATTTTTTGTATTTTAGTAGAGACGAGGTTTCACCATGTTACCCAGCCTGGTTTGGAACTCTTGAGCTCATTCAATCCACCCACGTTGGCCTCCCAAAGTGCTAGGAGTACAGGCATGAGCCACCACACCCAGTCCTCTTTTTATTTTTCGTTTTGGAGACGGAGCTTGTTGCCCAGGCTGGAGTGCAATGGCGTGATCTTGGCTCACTGCAACCTCCACCTCAGGGGTTCAAGCAATTCAAGGAGAGGCTTTTATTGTGGTTAGGGGATAAAGTGGGATGAGGGTCCCTTCCAACCAGCCAGGGTTTTCCTAATGTAAATTTCTCTCTAGGGTGAGGGAGAGAGCACCAGGACCTTCGAATCAGAGGACCTTCAGATCATCCTGCCCCGATGTTTTTTTGTATTGTATTATTTTATTTTTGTTTGTTTGCTTGTTCATTTGTTAGTTTTTTTTCCTTGTGGTATTTTTTTGGGGGGTAGGGGTTTGTTTGTGTGTTGGTTTGTTTCTGAGATGGAGTTTCGCTCTTGTTGCCCAGGCTGGAGTGGTACAATGGTGCGATCTCGGCTCACTGTAACCTCTGCCTCCTGGATCCAAGTGATTCTCCTACCTCAGCCTCCCAAGTACCTGGAATTACAGGTGTGTACCACCACACCTGGCTAATTTTTTGTATTTTTAGTAGAGACAGGGTTTCTCCATGTTGGTCAGACTGGTCTGGAACTCCCGACCTCAGGTGATCCACCCGCCTTGGCCTCCCAGAGTGCTGGGATTACAGACGTGACCCACCTCGCCTGGCCTTTTCTTTGTGTTTTGGGGGATTTTTCTGTTTATTTTTCACCTTCTTTTTGTTTTGTTTTGTTTTTTTTCTAGGAGTTTAAACATTGGATGGAACGCTATAGAGTGATTAGTAAACACAAGCTCAATCCAGATGCATCATCCTAGAGAGATCGCAGGAATATTTTTTTCTTAGACAGGGTCATGTTCTGTCACCCATGCCTGAGTCCAGCGGTGCAATCATAGATCATTGCAGCCTCTGTTGAGCCTCCTGGGCTCAACTGATCCTCCTACCTTGGCTTCCCAAAGCACTGAGATTACAGGAATAAACCACTGGGCATGGCCTCAGAAACGCTTCAGAAATAAGTGCCTGAGTTCTTCAAATGTGAATGCCCGAAAGACACAGAAGAAGGCAAGGTGACTATTTAAGAGTAAATGAAACTAAATAGGGCTGGGTAAGGTGGCTCTCACCTGAAATCTCAGCACTCTGGGAGGCCAAGGTGGGTGGATCAACTGAGGTCAGGAGTTCAAGACCAGCCTGGCCAACAGGGCAAAACCCGGTCTCTACTAAAAAAGAGTAAAAAATTAGCCTGACGTGGTGGTAGGTGCCTGTAATCCCAGCTACTCCGGAGGATGAGGCAAGAGAATCACTTGAATCCAGGAGGCAGAGATTGCAGTGAGCTGAGATCAAGCCATTACACTCTAGCCTGGGTCTCAAAAAAAAAAAAAAAAAAAAGGCCAGGTGAGAGAGATGGCCCACGCCTGTAATCCCAGCATTTTGGGAGGCTGAGGTGGGCGGATCATCTGAGGTCAAGAGTTCAAGACCAACCTGACCAACATGAGAAACCCATCTCTACCATAAATACAAAAATTAGCCAGGCGTGGTGGCAGGAGCCTGTAGTCCCAGCTACTCGGCAGGCTGAGGCAGAAGAATCACTTGAACCCAGGAGGCAAATGTTGCAGTGAGCCGAGATCGCGCCATTACACTCCAGCCTGGGCAACAAGAGTAAAACTTTGTCTCAAAAAATATATATTAGCATGCATTGTGGTGCACACCTGTAATCCCAGCTACTCAGGAGGCTGAGGCAGGAGAATCGCTTGAACCCTAGAGGCAGAGATTGCAGTGAGCCGATTGTACCACTGCACTCCAGCCTGGACAACAGAAAGAGACTGTCTCAAAAGAAACACAGAGACAGGGTCTTGCTGTGTTGCCCTGGCTGGAGTGCAGTAGCTATCCGAAGGCTCCATCATAGCACACTGCAGCCTCCAATTCCTGGAGAGTTAGAAAGAGAAAAGGAAAAAAGAAAGCAGAGTGGTGGTTGCCAGGGGTTGGGGTGAGGAAAGAGATTGACTGCAAAGGGGCAAGGACAACTTTTTGAGGTGATTCATCATGACTGTAGTGGTAGTTACATTACCAAATGTGTTTGTCAAAACTCATCAACGGAAAGACATAAAATTGATGAATTTAATTATATGTAAAGTATTCCTTGTAGTGGGTTAAATTGTGTGTCCCCCGACTGGGAGAGGTGGGTCACGCCTGTAATCCCAGCACTTTGGGAGGCTGAGGCCAGCAGATTGCCTGACCTCAGGAGTTCGAGACCAGCCCAGGCAACACGGTGAAACTCCATCTCTATTAAAATAACAAAAATTAAGACTGGGCGAAGTGGCTCACGCCTGTAATCTCAGCACTTTGGGAGGCTGAGGAGGGCGGATCACGAAGGCAGGAGATTGAGACCATCCTGCCTAACATGGTGAAACCCCCCTCTATACTAAAATACAAAAAATTAGCTGGGTGTGGTGGCAGGTACCTGTAGTCCTAGCTACTTGGGAGGCTGAGGCAGGGGAATTGCTTGAACCCAGGGGACAGAGTTTGCAGCGAGCCGAGGTTAAGCCATTGAACTCCAGCCTGGCGACAGAGGGAGACTCCGTCTCAAAAAATAAGAAGAAAAAGAAGAGAAAGAAAAAAAATTAGCCAGACTGGCTGCGCGCACCTGTAATCTCACTACTCAGGAGACAGGAAAATTGCTTGAACCCGGGAGGTGGAGGTTGCAGTGAGCCTGTAGGGTCTAGCCCCACAGGGCCCTGTGAGGCCCTCTCTACTGGTGAGGAGATGAGAAACTATGGAAATAAAGACACAAGACACCAAGATCAAGAGAGAGTTTGGGCACTGGGGTCCACTACCAACCAAAGCGTGGAGTCCAGCAGTGGCTCCAAGTGCCTGGACGCTCTTTTATTGAGTACAAAGCAGGGGGCGGGGTTGGTAGGGTGGGGCATTGGTGGTCAGTGACAGGCGTCATGTAGGTAGGGGTCCAAGACTTTCAAGTAGCCGAGACAAGGGAAGGAATATAATGCGTCAGCACTTTTCCATACTTGTCAAGAAAGAACAAAGACATTAAGATTTGTGTTACTTTTAATGATTATCTCTTCTAAGGAAAAGAGGAATCAGGTACAGAAGTGGAACATGAGAGTGGACCTGGAGTGTGACCATGGAAGCCCAGCACCACATAGAGACAAGTAAGCCCCTGGATGTCTTTGGGTCTCCCTGACAGTCATAGGCCTACCGCAAGAGCTTGGGGGAGCAGAGTTTTCTCCTTGCTGCTCTGAGGAAGGACACATCTCCGACGTCTCCCTCCGTAGCTTGCTAAACAGCGGGCACTTTCCCAGCGCTGGCGCTACCACACAGCCAAGGCGCCCTCCAGCAGCCTTTACATGGGTGTGACAGAGAACTTAAGGCGTCTTGCCTTAGGGTCACTTATTTCACAATGTCACCTTAGGTTCACACTTCACGACCCGAGAGGCATTACTAAAAGATTATGTTTAGTATATATATATCTTAGTGATTACCTATGAATAACTAAGATTACCTATGAATAACTAGTATGGTTATATCTCTAGTTATTTATTTCTTCATTATTTAGATGGGAACAGGCTGAGGCTCCTGACTGCTGCCTCAGCACCTATGGGGTCTCCCACCCACATGAGCCGAGATCACGCCACTGCAGTACAGTCTGGATGACAGAGCAAGACTCAGTCTCCAAAAAAAGAAAAAAAGAAGGATCCTCCCAAAAAAAAAGGATACTTACAAGTCCTAACCCCAGGTCCACAAGAATGTGGTCTTATTTGAAAATAGGGTCTAGCCGGGCACAGTGGCTCACTCCTGTCATCCCAACACTTTGGCAGGCCATCGTGGGTGGATCACTTGAGCTCAGGAGTTTGAGAGCTCCTGTACAGATGGTGAAACCCCATCTCTACCAAAAATACAAAAATTAGTCATGTGTGGTGGCGCATACCTGTGGTGCCAGCTACTTGGGAGGCTGAGACAGGAGAATCGCTTAAACCTGGGAGGCAGAGGTTACTGTGAACCGAGATCTCGCCACAGCCCTCCAGCCTGGGTGACAGAATGAGACTCCATCTCAAAAAAAAAAAAAAAAAAGAAAAGAAAAAAAGAAAACAGGGTATTTGCAGGCATAAGTTAAAAATTTCAAGATGAGATCATCCTGGATTTAGGATGGACCCTAAATTCAATGGCCCACATCTTTTTTGTTTTTTTTAAAAAAACTTATTTTACTTTATTTTATTTTTTTGCACCTTCTTTAAAGTAGTACCCACTTTTATTTTATTTTTTAAAGGGACGAGGTCTTGCTATGTTGCCCGGGCTGGAGTGCAGTGGCTATTCACAGGCGCGATCCCGCTACTGATCAGAACGGGAGTTTTGACCTGCTCCGTTTCCAACCTGGGCTGGTTCACCCCTCCTTAGGCAACCTGGCAGTCCCCCGCTTCTGGGAGGTCACCATATTGACGCCAAACTTAGTGCGGACACCCGATCGGCATAGCGCACTACAGCCCAGAACTCCTGGGCTCAAGCGATCCTCCCTCCTCAGCCTCCAGAGTAGCTGGGACTACAGGCACGCGCCACCGCACCTGCAATGGCCAGCATCTTTATGAAAGAGGGTGAATTTGAGTTACAGACCGAGAAGAAGACCTCGAGGGGTAGGTCATGTGAAAGTGGAGGCAGAGACTGGACTGATGCAGCAGGAGGCAGGGAATACTGAGGAGTCCCTACAGTCCCCATGGCCGGGGAGAGGCATGGAGCAGCTTTGACCTCAGAGCCTCCAGAAGGCACCAACCCTGAGTTCAGACTTCCGGCCTGCAGAACTGTGATACAATAATTTTCTGTTGTGTAAGCCCAGTTGGTGGTTTCTTTGGTTTCCCTTTTTTTTGTTTGGGACAGGGCCTCGCACTGTCACCCAGGCTGGAGGGCAGTGATGCAATCATGGCTCACTGCTGCAGGCTTGACCTCCTGGACTCAAGGGATCCTCCCACTTCAGCCTCCCAAGCAGCTGGGACAGCAGGCCTGTGCCACTGATTATTCTTTATTTTTGTAGAGACTGAGTCTCGCCGTGTTTCCCGGGCTGGTGTGGCACTTTGCTACCTCAGCCCTAGGAAGCTAATGCCTACCTCAATAAAGCCAATTTTTTTTTTCTTTTGAGACAGGGTCTTGCTCTGTCACCCAGGCTGGAGTACAGTGAGTGGCACAATCTCAGCTCACTGCAGCCTCTACTTCCTGGACTCAAGTGATCCTCCTGCCTTAGCCTTGTGAGTAGCCGGGACTATAGGCACATGCCACTGTGCCCTGCTAATTTTGTACTTTTTGTAGAAATGGGTTTTTGCTATGTTGCCCAGGCTGGTCTTGAACTTCTGGCCTCAAGTAACCTGCCTGCCTCTGCCTACAGTGTTGAGATTACAGGCGTGAGCCACTGTGTCCAGCCAAAGCTATTTTTATTGTTGTTGTTGTTATTTTTGAGACCAAGTCTCGCTCTGTCACCCAGGCTGGAGGGCAATGGAATGATCTCAGCTGAGTGCAATTCTCCTCCCGAGCTCAAGCAATTCTCCTGCCTCAGCCTCCCAAGTAGCTGGGATTACAGGCACCCACCATCACACCTGGCTAATTTTTGTATTTTTAGTAGAGATGGGGTTTCACCATCTTGGCCAGGCTGGTCTTGAACTCCTGACCTCATGATCTACCCACCCTGGCCTCCCAAAGTGCTGGGATTACAAGCCTGAGCTACCTCAACCTGCCTGATTTATTTATTTATTTATTTATTTTGAGATGGAGTCTCGCTTTGTTGCCAGGCTGGAGTGCAGTGGCGCAATCTGGGCTCACTGCAACTTCCACCTCCCTGGTTCAAGCGATCCTCCTGCCTCAGCCTCCCGAGTAGCTGGGATTATAGGTACGTGTCACCCACCCAGCTACTTCTTGTATTTTAGTAGAGACGGGGTTTCACCATGTTGGCCAGGCTGGTCTTGATCTCCTGACCTTGTGATCTACCCTCCTTTGCCTCCCAAAGTGCTGGGATTCAGGCGTGAGCCACCATGCCCGACGTGATTTTTTTGTTTTCATAAGTGGGAGGAAACACTTGGAAACATAAGCCTACATCAAAAAAACAAGTCGCATAACAATGGATTCACTGTGAAATATTTTATATAAAGGTTTTTAATGCTCCAAACAATACCACCTACTGTTCACGAATTGAGCACACGTCATAAAAGCCTGGAGGCACCTGGGTCTGGACCTAGGTTATTTCTACCAGGCTACCTCTGGGGAAGGCAGGGAAGAGAGTGGGGTTCTCCTGGCCTCTGGATACCCAGCTGAGACTGCCCAAGGCACTGTGAGATCTGAGAAGGCTTCCCCAGGGACAAGGCCCCTCCTCAACTCCCAGCCAAGACTCAGAATCACCCGGGGCTCAGTGAGTGGATGGAAAGGTGAGGAGGTCATTCCAAACTAAGCATCCGGGAAGCTGGCTTATTTAGGGGCCAGGCTGGAAAGCAGGTGAGGCTGGGTGACCATCCGTCCCTTCTTTTTTTGGAGGGGGGTTAGGAGTCTTGCTCTGCCACTCCGGCTGGAGTATAGTGGCACAATCTGGGCTCACTGCAACTTCCAACTTCCTGGTTCAAGCAATTCTCCTGCCTCAGCCTCCTGAGTAGCTGCCATGATAGGCGTGTGCCACCATGCCAGGCTAATTTTTGTATTTTTAGTAGAGACGGAGTTTCAGCATCTTGGCCAGGCTGGTCTTGAACTCCTGACCTTGTGATCCACCTGCCTCAGCCTCTCAAAGTGCTGGGATTACAGGTGTGAACCACTGTGCCCAGCCGATCCCGCCCCTTTTTTTTTTTTTTTTTTTTTTGAGATGGAGTCTTGTTCTGTTGCCCAGGCTGGAGTGCAGTGGCACAATCTTGGCTCACTGCAACCTCTGCCTTCTGGGTTCAAGCAATTCTCCTGTCTCAGCCTCCTGAGTAGCTGGGATTATAAGTGCCCACCACAACACCCAGCTAATTTTTGTATTTTTGGTAGAGACAGGGCTTCGCCATGTTCGTCAGGCTGGTCTCGAACTTCTGAGCTTGTGATCCACCTACCTTGGCCTCCCAAAGTGCTGGGGTTACAGGAGTGAGCCACCGCACCCAGCCGATCCCTCCCTCCTTAACTAGTCATGTACCAGTCTCCCCAGGGCTTCCCTGAGGCCCCTCTGTCTCTCCTATTCATTTTTCTCCTGGAGTTGGCAGGGAGCCTAAGGGTGAGGTGAGGGCTGGGGGCCCCTGTGTGCTGGGTGGCCAGGACTCTTAAGCCCAACAGGGAGATGGAGGCCAGGAATCTTGGGTCCAGAGGAGACTTTGCACCAGATTCAGATATTCAAATCCAGGCACACTGGCTCATGACCCAAATCCCAGCACTTTTGGAGGCCAAGGCAGGAGAATTGCTTGAGGGCAGGAGTTGAGACCAGCCTAGGGAACATAGTAAGACCCCATCTCTACAAAAAATAAAAAAGTTAGCAGGGCATGGTGGCACCTGCCTGTAGCTCCAGCCACTCAGGAGGCTGATGCAGGAGGATCACTTGAGCCCAAGAGTTCAAGACTGCAGTGAGCTATGATCATGCCACTGCACTCCAACCTGGGTGACAGAGTGAGACCCTGTCTCTGAAAAAAACAAAAACAACACAAACTTCCCAAGAGGGACTGAGGCTGAGAGCTAGGCAAGCTGGGATGAGGGCTCTGCTGTGCACCCACAGACAAATGACTTCGCCTCTCTGAGCCTGGCCTCTTCATCTATGAATGGTGTGACCTCATAGGGCTGCTGTGAGGATGAAGTACAGGGTAGCATGCAGGTGAGTCATCTTGGTGGCCATGCTGAGGATCACCAGCAAGGACTAAGTGCTGGAATTTCACCCCCATTTAATCCTCACACCTGGCCGGGTGCTGTGGCTCAAGCCTATAATCTCAACACTCTGGGAGGCTGAGGTGGGCAGATCGCTTGAGGTCAGGAGTTTGAGACCATTCTGGCCAACATGGTGAAACCCTGTCTCTACTAAAAATACAAAAATTAGCTGGTTGTGGTGGTATGCACCTGTGATCTCAGGTACTTAGGAGGCTGGGGTGGGAGAATGGCTAGAACCCGGGAGGCAGAGGTTGCAGTGAACTGAGATGGAGCCACTGCACTCCAACCTGGGGGACACAGCGAGACTCCATCTCAAAAAAAGAAAGAAAGAAAGAAAGAGAGAGAGAGGGAGGGAGGGAGGGAAGGAAGGAAGGAAGGAAGGAAGGAAGGAAGGAAGGAAGGAAGGAAGGAAGGAAGGAAG